CAGCAGGTATAGACTCACAAAGTGTTCTCAAAATGCTTTTCTTCAGTGAGAGACATTATGTGTCTTCTCTTCAGCTTCCCTTGGGAATCATGTCAATCAAGACCACCTGCTCCACCTCCAAGGTGGGTTGAGCTACTGTCTTTGCTAAAGAGTATGTTAGAAATCTTTCTTCCTAATAACTTCCTGGTTTTTAAAATGGAATCTTAGCCATAAAATGTAATCCTCCTTGCTCTTGCTATACTGTTTGTATCTGAGCTTTTTTGGAAAATTAATCATGATGCTTGTCTCCTGTCTTTGCCCCACGTCACTTTGAGTTCTCTTAGCTTTTAAGAATACCTGTACACGAGCATTTCCCAAATGTATACCACCAGTTCAGAGCTTTCTTCCAAACACGGCTTCTCCTATATCCAAGTGCCTCCTCAACATCTCCACTTCAAGTTTGGCATGTCCATAACTGAACTCCCTACTTTACTCCCCACTCTGTTGTCTAGTCCACCTGTGGTCTTCCCCACCTGTTTGACCCCACCGTAATTCTGTTTCCTCAGATACAAAATACCGTGGCGTCATCCTTGATCATTCCTGCTTTTCTCTCATACATCTCACTTTGCCCATTACTCTCAGAATAGTTGCAGATTCTGATCACTTTTCTCTCTGTGCTGCCTCTGTGATATAATCTATCACCATTGATTCCTACTCAGATAACTGTCATATCTCCTAATTGGTCTCCCTTTTCTCTCCCCTTCTTAGCTATAGTGTGTGCCCTGAACACAGTGGCCAAACTAATTCTTTCAAAAGTGAAGTCAGATCTGTATCTTTGCTTCTTTCCTGTTTTCCCTTCCACATTGCTCAAGCCACAGTGGTGTCATTGCTGATCCTTGAAGCCATCTGGGCATGCTTATAACTGAAGGCGTTTGCATTAGCTTTTCTCCCTTCCTTTCTTCAGATAACCACATGCCATTCCTCATTTGAGTCTTTGCTAAAATGTAACCTCAGTGAGGCCTACCCTGATCACATTACAACTGTGACTCTGCTCACTGGTTCTCTCTCATCCTGCTCTGCCTTTTCTTGATCCATTTCGCCTGTCTGCTACTAAGAGCATTTACTTTGGCCTATCACTGTTCATAATGTCTTCTCAGTAAAGAACTTAAAGAATTTAAAGAACTTTAGTGGAGTCACATTTATCAGTCTTTTTTTTTTCATGGTTTGATCAGCATTGTATAAGAAACCCTGCAGTATCCCAAGGTCATTAGATATTTTGGCTACAAATCCTTGGCTACAGTATGGACTAGATTAAATTAGGCATGAACATGTGTGTAAGTCCCTTCCATTCATTCCAAATGAACATTGAACAGAGAACTCCTTTTGGCAAACATCCAAAAATAACTTGGTATAAAAATGCCTGTGTGTCTTTAGATGCTGATGTAGGTGTTGGGCCTTCCTCTCCAACCTGTGAGAGGTACAGATGATTGGAGTTATCACTAATGGGAGTCATTGCAGAGCCTACATACAATGTCATTTCTCAGGATGAACAGTGATGACAGCACACATTGGTTTGTGTATTATCTGCCCGTCCAAATAAAGCAAGCATTCTTTTCTATTTTTTTAAAATATTTCCATGTAAATTAGAATCTAAACTAGACAGTTGTGTTTAGCTGGCAAGAATCAGCTGAAGTCCTGTTTTCTCAGAACACATTCCATACCTCAGTTGCCTCTTCGAGATTTCAAAGGTTTTTATCTACCTGGTAATTTGGAGGAATTGCTTTTATTTTGTGGTTTCTTAGGGACTTCTAATATCTCTCTTGTAAGATGTTTGCAGATGTCAATAGCTTCTAGCTCTGCAGGGTTAGAGTAACAAGATCGTTCTGTTTTTACTTGCGAAACTTTTTTCTGCTGGTGCTATTAGTTCTTTCCTAAGCTTCATGAGAGACATAAAATTGGACTCTGAACTTGTCCTGTTTGTTATGGGGAAGCTTGCTGGTACACTATTTATTTTCTTACATTCTTTTGGATGTATTTTGGTTTGGCACCATCCTGTTGAGTTCCTTTCTTGTTCACATAATCCACTTTCACACATTTACTTGTATCTCATTACATGGTCTTTATTTGAATGCTTGTTAAAACTGTTTCTTACCTTTAATTAATTGCTTTGTAGTTCAGGCAAATGACATTACCTTTAACCTCTGTGATATTTCAGAATAAGTAAGGTAAGGTTCAGACATTCAGGTTATGTGGCAAATCATGAGGCTCTAAGGTAAATGTCGATATTTTGTTCAATTCATTGTTTAGAATGCTATTCACTTGTATGATCACACAGCTACTCTAAATAGACTGTCCTCTGTTGCTCACTAAATATGAATACGTTGGCACCTCTTTACTCCTGAGGGCTGATGTCCATTGATTTTCTCTTTATTAAAAATCCTGTTCATTTTTGGCACCTGGCATCTTTCTGTCTAGCAGGCATTGTTACTGTATCATTGAGTGTCATCATAAACTCCATTTTATGGACCATATGTTCTACTTACTTCCTTAGTAGTGACCATGATTATCATTTGGCTGCCTGGATGTTTATAAAATACCCATAATTCTGCGCCACTGCCCTTGTAAACCCAGCACTCTCCCTCTAGCCAGGCTACCCATATGTGTCTCATTTCCCTTATTTCCTGTGAGAAAACCTCAGTGTTAAATTAATTATTTTTTTTATTGTTTCATGTTTTGGACTGTACCATACTAGGCAGTTTCCATGACACCCCAGGACTTTGGTTAAAGTGTGGACAACCATATTGTTCCTGTTCAGATCACATGGATTCCTATACATCATCTTAGTAAAGTGTTCATACCTGCATTTCTGAGGGTGCTTTAACCCTCACGTATGAGGAGGAGCCCCAGAATGTTAGCCTTTTTTTAAGTTCAGAAGAAGTAAGAGACAATTAGATGATGAATGTGAAGCTCAAAGAATTATGTACATTCTCTTGAGTGATTTTCTTGTTAAATTAGGGAATTATAATGGTTAAATGGTGTCTTCTGGATACCAAGGCTTAGTTAGGTCTAAGGAAATACCTATTTTGGTCACCTTAACCTCAATATTGTCCTTAGGAGTAGTTTAAATGTGGGATATTAACATGATAAAGGTTCTTTATTTAGATTGGAATTAATTGGCTATTTAACAAATAATTTTGAATATTTGAGCATAGAATGTGTTAGACTGGAGGAAGGAAAAACAAGGACATACAAACAGAACAGAGAGATACCATAAAAGGAGAACAGACCAGACCCCAAGGTCCATGCCTTATATGGAAAGGGGACAGCTCTTCCTGAATTCCATCCTTCTGATGTGCCATCTAAGACCCCGATGTCAGTATCCTCCCTCTTAAAAGAAAAAAAGTTTCTAGTTGTCTATCATCTCACCTTTAGCCAATCATACATCTCCACGCCCCCTAGGATAGCTTACCCAGTCCTCCCACTCCTAGCCCCTTATAAGGCCCCACCTCTCTGACCAGGTGTGACTTCCCTGGCCTGTGTTTCAGACCGAGGAACATCACCTGGGAATTGCGCTCAAATCAACTGCCGGGCCCTTTGTTGCCTCTTGTCGCCTGCTTATTTCAACTAGAATTTATCTTACAGAATGGACTTTAAAGGGAGATCTTGTTTTGTCCATGTGTAGTGGCAAAGCTGAGGCCAGGTGGACTCATACAGGCTGGGGAAACAACAGTGTGCATATAGGTTAGGAGTTAGTCCTTGATTTTCTCCTTATTTGTGAATTTTTGTCAAACATTACTTGGTTTTAGAGATTCCCAAATCTGTACTTCAGTCGTACTTTTCTGGTATACTTGATCTTTGTACATCATTCTGCTATTTCTCTTGTAGTTAGTTAATCCAACTATTTATTGAATATCTACTATTAGGGAGGTATTGTACTTGGCTCTGGGGTCACAGAGAATAAGAGAAGTGGACAGGGCCTCTTGTAACCTAGGCTTGAGGAGAACAGAGACATACAAAGTAATTGAGCTGACACCTCCCTATTTCCCTATTCTACATCCCCCATCAAAAGGCAAAGTTCTTGACTTCATATGGCTGTCACTGTGACTTAAAATACTGCATTCCTCTTCTCTATCCCCTCTATCCATTCTGTTGCCAATTCCTGTCAATTCATTTTTTAAAATGGTTATCATACCCCTTAAGTTCCTATCCATTCCCACTTCAGTCAACTACATCTAGACCACCTCCTCTTAGATTCTCATGGTTACATTGACTAGACAGTAACCTCTTCCAGAAGTCCAGAGCCCATGAAATAGTGAAGGAATTGTGTGTGTTTATATTTATTTGTGCCTGTGTATTGAAGTACTCTACTTTCCTTCTTTCCCCCTTTTGCTTGTTCTCTTCCTTCAACTCTAATTTTTTCTCTTGTTCTTTCCTATCCTGGAAACTCAATTAAGTCCCACCTTGTCAATGAAATATTTCTTGATTACTTCTTTCTTGGCATTTCCCTGGGCTCTTACAGCACTTGGTCCCTAGTCTGTATCACTTAGCACTTCTTCAGAACCGCTTTGTGCTATTTCATACCAGTAGATGTGCTTCTGTTAACTTTGGTAGGTTACAAGAGCACAGAGTTTAGGATGGAAACATATTTATGGAGTGCTTTTCATGTGACTAATAGTTGGTGCTGAATGGTTTATTCATACAGATTTATAATGTACCTAAAAATTATTTAAACGACCTAATGCTTATTGAGCTTCTTCTACATCATAGATGCAAACATTCCATTGCTTATTTTTGAACCTCTTTTGTGAAAAACGTAATTGTACTCCCTGTAAAAGCATTTTAGCCAAATATTTGTTAATCACTTACTATGGATCTAGCACTCCATTAGTGTTTGTGATAATGGTACGGCAAGAGCATATTTCAGATGAATTCCCATATCTTGTGCTATTGGCTGTGTTCTTTGGGTTTTTTGGTTTACTGTTTGTTTTCATTGCTGATGTGATGTTTTGTTTTGCTTTTAGGATAAGAACAAGAAACTGCGTCCTCTGTATGACATTCCTTACATGTTTGAAGCTCGGGAATTCCTTCGAAAGAAGCTTATTGGAAAAAAGGTAAATGATGGCATCCTGGGCCTCCATAGCCATGGTGGCTGGTGTCCTTTCTGCCTGCATCCATGGCCTGAGGGCTTTGCCTCACTGCCTCGGGCCCCCATGTTGGCTGTGGCCCAGCCACTCAGTGCCACCCTGTACCCTTTGGGGGCCTGGACAAGGCCTCAGTGGCCAAGCAATTTCTTTGTGCTTACACAGTTGTGCCGCTGATACAGTGATGCGACTCCTTTAATGTTAAAGGGAATCAAAGACTGTTTTTTACATCTTGAAACTCTAAGACAAGGTTGACCCAGAAAAGTTCAGTAAATCCCCATTTTATGAAAGATCTTTCAACAGTTTGGACCAAGTGGAGATTATTATGGCCATGCAGGACGAATTTGGGTTTGAAATTCCTGATATAGATGCAGAGAACTTTATGTGTCCACAGAATTTGTAGAAGATGTATATGAATAGGATATTAGATCCCTTTTCTTCACTGAGAGAAGACTTGGAAGATACTGGCAAGTGTCTGTAAGTGAGAAGGCATTTTGGCATTAGTGCTGGCTTTGATAGAGTAATTCTGTTCAGACTTGTATTTAAATTATGTGTCTTTGCCCTTTGAAAATAAACCTGTAAAACATAAAAAAAGAAAGTAAATGGTGACAGAAACAGATTTGCAGATAGTTAGGGATTATGTAATCTGGGCTAGCCCTTGTGATGGAAACCCAGAGACCAGCAGGTGACATTCCTGCCCCAAGTCAAGCAGAATCACTGTGATATGAAGAGGGGTGTGCCTGCAAATCAGGAAGTGGTTTCTCTTGGGAGAGGTTTAAAATTGGGGCCCTGACCTCGGTATGATTGTAAGAGCTCTGATGGCATGTTCTTTCCAACCTCCAGGTGCAATTCCAGTTTCAGGAATTGCATATGGCCCTGAGTTTATCCACTTGGCTCTCTCATTCTCTCCAGCCACCTCCATGGGAAGTTGGTGCTGTGGGATTTTTCTAGCAGGGGAAGGTTGCTGGTTTTTCCTGTCTCTCCTACTTGGGAGCAACAGGTTGACTAAGGAGAAGATGGGCTCTCCTGGACTAGAAACATGCTACTGAAATGTACTAGGGTGTGCAGGGCACCTCCATGTTATGGGCTTGTCACATTTCCTGTAGATTCTACGCAGGTGTTGGGGATCCTTGGTGGGAAAAGAGTACATGGTTTCCTGGTGGTGCTTGGTGAAGCACTTTTTCTTCCTAGTTCAGTGCAATAGTTCGGTAACCCTAAGAGTGCACCTCCTTGTGTTTCTAGAGCATAATATTCTGTCATTAGCTCAGAACCCGCCCTTCTGGGAGGCTGAGGGTGAGCCACCGAGTGCTCCCTATTTTCTCTGAGCTCCCACCCAAAATACCCTGGGCAGTTCTTTGTATCCCTGGTAAACAGAGGATATGAATGGGGGATATGAATGGGGTCGTTACCTCAATGGTAGTTGAGGGAAATCTGCTCAGGGAGCCATAGTGATCTGTCTTTACCCATGTTCTGTTCCAATGGGTTCCAATCTTTTGGCACCTAACGTTTTTTGGTTTGATTTTTCTTCTATCTGCAGAAAGGTAAAGGCCATTCTGCTGTATGTCTGGCCTTAACAGTTAAAGCCATGTTAGTATTCTTTACCTAAGGGAGATTTGTAAATTAGTGGTGAGGTAACAGGTCCAAAAAGGCTCTCACTTTTGAACTAATGCTAATGTAGTATATTATAAATATTACCAATTGTATTATATACTGTGGTCACTAGAAAGATAAATTAGAGTGAAGAGATTTTCAAGGTGGGCATAAGATGAAATTGCTAACTTTGAAGTAGAGAAACGAAACTGGGTTCCCTGAAAATGAGTATTAAATCTCAGGTTCCTTCAGAGAATAGGCTCATTTGTCATTATATAAAACTTGACAGAATGCTGTATTCATTCATGAAGTGTAGTATGAATGATGGCTTTAAGCCTCTTTCAATTTCTAGATCTCCTGTTATCTAATCTAATGTCCAACATCTCTATTTCACCAGGCTGATACTGTATCACTCATTTACTGGCTCATAAACAAATGCATAGAGACAAACAAGGAATTTCCTCACAAGTATGGATTTACATTGAAATTCATGGAAAGTCACATTGAAAGGAGTGGCAGCATATATTTGATTGAGTGTAGCCAGCTGGGTGGCATGTATTATGGCATCCACCTGGTTTCTTTGAGTATTGCCCTGTCCTGATTCTGTTTCATCCCTGGGAATAGAGATCACAGCTCATTGCAGCAGCTGCCAAATGCTCCTAGAAGATTGCCCAGCTTCTGCTCTCAAACACTGTGCATCAGGCCTTCTTAAAGTCCTCTGTCACAGTATGAAAAGACTGACCTAAAGTGTCAGATAAGGTGGCAATTTTTTTTCCCCTAGGAAATATTAACTTTTTTTTTTTTTGAGAGGGCATCTCTCATATTTATTGATCAAATGGTTGTTAACAACAATAAAATTCAGTATAGGGGGGGTCAATGCTAAATGTACAATCATTAATCCATCTCAAGCCTAATTCTCATCAGTCTCCAATCTTCTGAAGCATAACGAACAAGTTCTTACATGGTGAACGAATTCTTACATAGTGAATAAATTCTTACATGGTGAACAGTACAAGGGCATTCATCACAGAAACTTTCGGTTTTGATCATGCAATATGACCTATAAACAATCAGGTCAAATATGAATATTCGTTTGATTTTTGTACTTGATTTATATGTTGATCCCACATTTCTCCTATTATTATTATTATTTTTATTTTTAATAAAATGCTGAAGTGGTAGGTAGATGCAAGATAAAGGTAGAAAACATAGTTTAGTGCTGTAAGAAGGCAAATGTAGATGATCAGATGATCAGGTGTGTGCCTATGGACTAAGTATTAATCCAGGCTAGACAAGGGCAGCAAGACATCCACGGATGCAGAAGATTTCTCTCAAAGCAGGGGGGGTGAGGTTCTGAGCCTCACCTCTGTTGATCCCCAAATTCTCACCTGATGGCCCCCCTGCGACTGTGCCTGTCTTAGGTTGTTCCTCCCTTGAGGAATCTTACCCGTCTCTGGCTAACCAGTCATCTTCCGGGGCCATACAGGGAAATGTAAAGTTGGTAAGTGAGAGAGAAGCCATATTGTTTGCAAAGGTTAGCTTTTTACTTCTTTGCAGATTTATGCCCTGTGGCTTCTATGCCCAGCACTTGTCTCGAGGTATCTTTACCACCTGGAGGAATTATGATACTCGGTAAATTCGATATGAGGCACGAATTCTATTTAAGGGTTGTAATTAGGAAGGAAGAAGAAAAGCTATAGATGTAGCATATGAAGGAAACTTGGGAGGATTGATTATTTCTTTGACATATCTTCTTGTATAGTACCTTAAGTATGTATAGGTTTTAAACTACTAACTAATTTGCACACACATATTAACATAATAGGAATACGGTGACATAAACAAAGCAAATCTATAATTACCAGCCATCTCCAGTGAAGCCAAGAAAACCATTTAGGCACCCTAGGCATTTGTGAAAATTTATCTATGATATGATGGATATTTTCCAACTGTACTTGAACCATCAGACAAATTAAAGCAGCCCATTTCTGGGATCTGTTCACATCCCATATGTTCTTTTAACCATAGATAGTCTATAGTCATGAGATTTTGGGGTGCTACAACTTGCACCCCTCCCAACTCCTGGTTGAGTTCCAACAGTACAGATCCGGTCAAATTCGTTGTCTCACTGTATGCACATGCCAGCCTAGACATCTCCCTCCTCATTCCAATGGCAAGACCAGGAAACGGTGGGATGGACGCAGCTACAACCGCAGCATCGCCCGGATCCCTGTGGAGGCTTTTTGATGATCATCCCCCGGCACGAGTCCTCCAGAGAGTGCTGATGCCAGAAGCTCCTCCTCATATTGTATCTTAGTTCATTTTCTGGGTATCCAAGCTAGGCCTTGATCTTCTGCATAGAAACAAACAGACCCTTTGCCCACACTTTGACATGCCCTCTATACCACTGTGCAGAACTCATTGGAGTTCAGCACACACGGACTGCTTTTTTTTTTTTTTAATTAAGAGAAAGGAATATTATCAGAAAAAAGTAAGGTGGCAATTTTTAAGCAAATAGGTTCCCTTTTGGTGGAGGATGCCTTGTTTACTGGTTCCTCTGTATCAGAGTTGATTGGATTCTATTTGTGCTGAGTCCAAGTTTTGTCCCCCATGGTGACATTGTATAAATGATGAATACCATATCCCTGCGTAGGGAGTAGAATGCAGCCTGGCTCTGCTGGGCTGGAACATTCCTGATGCAAGTGCTTTTCCTGACTCATCACCTGAAACCACTTTGCTGGTCTTCTGGGACTGTCAATGGTAAGAGCAAACACCCATGTTCTCTGGAGTCTGGGAGCAGGCAGGGCAGTTGCTGCCTCAGGGGGCGGCTAGCACATCAGTACAAATCTCTGCCAGTTCCCTTCAGACCTCTGCAGCTGCTCAGTGTGACACATGGTGATTAAGAGGCACCGAGGGGGGAGCACGTGTGCCTATGTGCCTGTGTGCACGAAGCTGATTAGGGCAGCCTCTCACAGCTTAAGCAAGATAATGGAGGGAAAATCATCTTCTCTGCCCTATTATTTGGCCATCCCAGAGAGTCTATCATATGACAATTTTAAGGATTTTCTAGAAAAGTAAGATTGAAGGTAAACTGTTAAGGTGCTTTGTTAGATTCAGTGGCCTGTATGTCAGCTACAGAAATTCACTTTCTCAAGATTTAATTATGGCTAAATGCCTTCATTAACATAACCAACCACCTCTCTGAGCCTTGGTTTTATCAGTTGTGAGATGGGAGTATTTGCCTTCTCTTGCTAATGGTCATCTTGGACATTGAGAATCGATGATGGTATTAGTCCTTTCAGAGTTTCCAAACACCAGTAAGTTTTTAGTAATACTGCTTTCCTATAGAACCTGGCATAGCCTTTTTTCAGTTATGATTT